GAATACATTGTGTGCATTGAATTTATTTAATACACGAGTTTCACAATTTGAGTTGAATTACTGAAATAAATGAACTTTTCCACGACATTCTAATTTATTGAGATGCATGCACCTATATATATATATATAGCTGGAATAATATTTCATTTAATTATTATTCAAATTTATTTTAATATCATATAAAATAGTATAATTATAATTAAAATAAATAAATACATAAAAAAAAAGTAAATCTTGCTTCAATGATGTTTCAATACCCATTAAACAGTAATATATAAATTACTGTTCAAAAGTTTGGTTGTTATGATTTTGAAAGAAGTTTCTTATGCTAAAAAGGCTGCATTTATTTGATCAAAATACTGTAAAAACATTAATTTAAAAAAATATTATTAGTTTAAAATAACTGTTTTCTATCTGAATACATTTTAAAATGTAATTTATTCCTGTGATGACTGATTGTTACTCCAGTCTTCACATGATCCTTCAGAAATCATTGTAATATGCTGATTAAGAATTATTATTCGTTTCAGTGCTGAAAATATTTATGCTTATTTATTTTGGAGACCATGATACATTCTGTTCGTGATTTTTCATTAATTTATTAAAAAAAGCTTCTTCTTTTTTTAACAATCTAAATGTCTTTACTGTCACTTTTGATCCATGCATACATCTTTGCTAAATAAAAGTATTAATTTCTTCAAAATAAATAAATAAAAACATAGCTACACTAATAGAACTGGTGGCATGTGGTAGTAATACCAAGGTACTGTAAGATTACCATATTCACTCATGGTACTTCAGATAAGTACTATCATCTCGGTTGGATCCAAAAACATTGGTGTTACTGTGGTACCTTATTCAAAAATCCTTGGTGATATCATGCTACGTTTTTTAATTTAAGTGAAGCCATACATTTTGGCTCTTTATTTTAGCATTCTCTCATTCTGTCAGGTCTCTGGTACATTTTACCTTCTGGTAAATCTTTTGTAACACCATGTGTGTGTTTTTTTCCAATGGTGTCTATCACCAATCTGCTGCCTCGTAAATGTGGCGTCCATGTTGCCCCTCTGACAGGGAGCAGGTGTGTTTTCCACCGCATTACACACACTCTGATGAAAACACCGCGAAGCAGCAGGTGTCTAATTTCACCCAGCCTCCCTCCTACATACGCTCACATCCACACATCCTTCACACGCTACACACACTACTTCCATAACAAACCCACAATTTCACACAACTGAAGGACATTTAAAGACAAAGAAACGGACAGAAAAACAAAGGCTAAGAAAAAGTGTTATAGAGTTGAGTGTAAAGCTGAGAAGTGCTCACAGTCATAGAGAAACTCACCACAAACCAAAAGCAGAAGCCATGGCAAGCGTCAAGTTCCTGTCCAGAAAGACAACTTCTCAGAAGCCTGTCTCAAGAGGATGTTACATAAAAGCTATTTTACATCTATTTTTAGAAATTAAAACTGTACAAGGTAAATATTAGGTGTTGTTACTTTTATCAGTGCATTAAAATATGCATCTTAAAATATTGTAATTATTTCATAGTATGTTGATTATAGTTTATTTTCTTCAATTTTATAAAAGGCATTTCTTACAAGAGAAGTGAAACCATTTAAAAATCAGGCATACAACTGGACAAACTGAGTACACACCATTATTATTATTATTTGTGAGCTGTAAATGAACTTTGAGATTTGACTTGCTGCACACATAGAAGGATTTTTAACACTAAATACCAAGACTCCAGTTATGGGGGAGTTTGTATCTTCTGTCATACATCTCCACCTGGTGGTCAATATTAAAACAACATTTCGTAAAAGCAAGCACCAAGTCCAGGATTTACAATGAACACGACAATTAACAAAATGCCTAAAGGCCAGTGTTGGGGAAAGTTACTTTTAAAAGTAATGCATTAAAGTGAAATGAATAAGCCTCGGGCTGAAGGGAAAGTAAATTTACGTCCGTACAGTAGAATGCAGAACAAGAAATTTTAACACACTTAAGACACACAAATGTGGTAATTTTTGCTTATTAGTATGGTTGAACTGGATCATCGAAGGTCAGAAGCAAAGACATTGGTTAATATAATGGGATTAAATACATAAAGCATATTTGTGTTGTTTAACATTTAATTATTGCAGGTTTGCGTCATATTCTGAGTTGCATTATTTTTATTCATTTTGAGGAATACTGAATCTGTGTTTTTTTTTTGTGAGTGAGATGAATTAATGCATATTCATATTTATTTTAGAACTACAGTAACATCTTCTGATTTCTCTCAACATGGGGACAGGAGAGCTGCCACTCAATACATTTAAAAAAAAGGTAACTTGCGTTACTTATTTTAAAAAGTAACTCAGGTATTCTCTTGTAAATTAAAAAGTAATGTGTTACTTTACTAGTTACTTGAAAAAAGTAATCTGATTACGTAACTTGCGTTACTTGTAATATATTACCCCCAACACTGCTAAAGGCATACTGTGTTCTGCGTATTTCTGTTTATAGATACAGATACTTCTTTTTACTTGATCTGAATCTCTCTTAAGAGGATTTGATTCCTGCATATTGAAAAAGAGAGTATCAGGTGTTTCTGAAACAGAATGAAACTGTGGCTTTGCGGTTTAAGCATACGCTCGTTCATATTATGATATTTGATATATTATTTGAAATATAATAATATCATAAATATACATATTTTATTTATTTAACTAGTTAGTTAAATAAATAACACTTTTTCTTTGCCCATTCATACCAAAAAAACAGAAATCAAGTAGTTGTTATATGTTTTCTTAATTTATTTAGCAATTCCAAAATCAAATCTGCACAACTTGTTCATTTTGCAACATGACATGTTTTTTTTAACCATAAAATACAAAAATGCATTCTTGATAAGAGATTATAAAATCAGTGAAGCAGAATAAATTTATTTCAAAAGAGATGTAAGCATAAAACAGTCATACTTATTTTGACATCAATTAAGGTTTATGTCAGTTGGCACAGGTCAAACAACGCACTACAAACATAAACAAAAATCGTATAAAATTTTATTTTGATTCTTCTGTCTGCGTAGGCCTATCTTTCCTCTGTTATTTTATTCTGTCTTTTGGCATTTTGGCTCGGCTAGGCTTTTGGATCAGAGTTTTGTTTTGTCCGTGTTTTCTGGTCCACCATTCTCATAATATCTTTGATCCACTCTGAGTCTGGATCAAAACACCGAATTTTCCGTCCTACAGTCAACAAGCTACAAAGAAAAACAATTTCCATATTAGTCGAGAGCTAAATTACTGTTTAAAGCAGTGTAAGCACTGTTAACTTTGGCATTACAACATCTTGACATTTGTAACAAACAACTATGACTTAAGGTCATTAATATGAGAATCTGATGACTTACACAATTGCGTTGATAGGGCAAACTCCTGCTTTCTGGACTGTATAACTCAACACTCTGTTTATGGGTATTCTGTTTTTGCTCGTCTGCAAACAGCAGGCTGAAGGACGTTGATTTGTTTCTGCATGACAAAAAGAAACTGCAGTTGAAACTAACTGTTTCAGAACTTCATAAAAAGAGATTTCAACAAAATTCTAATTGACAACACACTAACCCTTCCCAGGTATCAGTAATGAGTAACAAAAGGTGAAGTGAGACTCACCTGCAATGAGACAGAACAGAAACAGCACCAGGCAGAAAGGAAGACAAACGAGCGACCTCATGACGACTGTGCAGACAGACACTGACTGAAACTACTCCTTACACAGCTTTAATATTTCACACTTTCATTTCCTCTGCTCTTTCGTGCACACAAACACACAAACCTCAACCTCCAAAATGGGTAACGTGTATGTGTGTGAAAGAATGTGTTCGAATGAGCCTCCATCCAATGAGCGGAAAAAGGTGCTAGTGATGAGCTCTCGGTTTGGTCCTTCACCCACACAGCTCGCCACAGCGTGGGTAGCTACTGTAGATGAATGGAGTTGCATTGCAAGAATACACACCCAACTATAGAACAGAACTACGCAGTTTTATGAGAGTGAGAATGCATACAACTTGTGTTACAGATGTAATGCTTCACCATGTTGCCGCATGATCATAAGAAAATCCATAGAGCAGGGCTGTAATAACCACAGATACTGAGGGGGACAAGTCCCTCCTAGAAATGGTCATTGCATCAAGTTACATTTTAGGCTGGTCTGCCTTAGCTGTCTATAGGAGCTCAACAATGTAAAAATGATAGAGCTGGTCAATCAAAGAAAAATAGGCGGGGTTTACTGTTCACAGAAGCATAGCACAAATTGCAGCACAGAGCGTCAGTTTAACGTTAAAAGAGACGAGAGTAAGGTAAGAAAAAAAACTGCGAAACATTTAATATTTAACGACTGTTGAACGATAGAAACGTTAAACGACCGACAAAAATATCCAGAAATGCAAACTACTCTACTTTTTTCTTCAAATTTCAGCATTGTAAATTGAAAATATGGTGAGTTATCATTTAGGTGATTCATGCAATCCCTAAATACAAAATAAGAGTAAATGTGTGCATATTTCAAAGTATTGTTTGCAAATATTTCAAAATGATTACTTCCCTAGAATTAGACTTAAATTAGACATAGAATTACTTTCATTGTTCTATTTCTTTATACTTTATCAAACAAATTGGACCCCCACTGTTCAAGAAATGGTTACGGCCTTGCCATAGAGACATCAGGCAAAACGCAGGAAGGATTCAATTGAAAACAAACTTATTCCTAAACATTAAAGAGATCTAACACTTCAAGTCATGGCAATTGTTTTACTTACGGTTATACCACACCTCAAGACATTTATCAGGTTTTTGTCCTTGTGTGTACAACTAATTTCTTACATATCTCATGCCAAGCCTCTGTTGTTAATTGCAAAACGTAATTTTTGAGTTTGTATCAGAGGCTTGAGTTGAGATATGCAGTTATGAAAGAGATTAATTACTTGAGTCTGTGCACTCTCAATAATGTTGGACAGCAGGGTTTCTACTAATGAAGCTGTAAGTTTAACTGATTCAAAAAAAGCAAACGTCAGTACTGAGAAATGTCCTTTCACTTTTCAGTTGCAAACTATTTTAATAAAAGGTTCTATCGTGTTTATGTGTCTGTGTGCAAGTGTCTTTACTGTGGAAGAAGGGAAGCATAATAAAATTAATTTGGTGGAAAAGCCATTTTTATCCTATTTTGTTTGTCATATTTGTTTGCTATATGTAATAAAAAGCAGCACCACTCCGAATAGGATAATTCTGATATGGGCAGTATAAACCATTTTTATTTTATTGTAAACCATCATAATATGCAACCGTCATCCCAGACCATAAAAACCGGGCCTAGCTTTTATTTTAAAGAAATGCTCAGAAGGACCACTCACTGTGGTCCCTTGACAGATATAGACATCTCTGTTGATTCATGCATTATATAGCTAACAACATTTTTATATTTCACATTTAAAACCTTGCTTTACTGTTTCTTTTGATAATTTAAGTGCTTCCTTGCTTAATAAAAGTATTAATTTCATTAAAAAAATCTTACTGAACCCAGACCTTTGAACAGTAGTGTATATTGATTGATAGTTATATTATTATTTTTCAAATAAATTACTGTTGATTACCATAGTCATTTTAGCTGTGACATTGAAATTGATATCATGAATTGTGAAATGTCACTTATAATACCAATACCAGAAAAATTTATTTCTGAAAAAGAAAGTCAATTTCAATGTCACAGCTAAAATTAATATGCTAATGGTCCCAATCATTTATCACTGACCTACTGAGATTTTGCAATTGTGACAATCCTACAACAGCACTCTCGACGAGGATCCCTGGACAGATCGACTCTTAACAGTTCAGCTGTGAAGAAAGCTGCATGCAAATACTCAAATCCTCCTTTGAAACTTGTTTGTGTATCTGCAGGCATAAAGGACAGCACCGGCTCAGAGAGTGATGGCGGTGACTCCAGTAGTTTACACTTTACGGTCTGACACTGGCAGTGTGTCCTCCAGCTCTGAGATTCAGCCCAAAAAGGTTCGGGGGTTCGGCTTCGGGGACATCTTCAAAGACCAGCCCATCAAGCTCCGCCCACGATCCCTGGACATGGACAGTGAGGGAGAGAAGGTAAGTTTGTCTCTGTATTTTACTGAAAACCTGAGAAACGAGCATGACTTTATGGAAAACACATCGCCAACCAATCTATTCTTGAAGCACCCACATTTTCTCACAAGTACCCACATTGTGTTCTACTCCACCTCAAACCAAGTTGTGGGGAGTTTCATGCATCATGCAAGGGGATAGGGGCTACAGAACTAACAACTGAAGTACATACATACATACATAAACTACCTAAACATGTGTCATGTGCTAGTATCCTTTGAAAAAACAAAGAAAAAATGTATATATAATAAAGTGTTCTCTGTTAAACACAAACTATTTGATAATCTTGGAATTAGAGTCTTTATTCTGACAGCTGCACATCTGGACTCATTTCTAAACTACTTGCTTTGTTTATCTTAACGCGTTAAATCGACAGCCCTAATATATATATATATATATATATATATATATATATATATATATTAGGGCTGTCGATTTAACGCGTTAAGATAAACAAAGCAAGTAGTTTAGAAATGAGTCCAGATGTGCAGCTGTCAGAATAAAGACTCTAATTCCAAGATTATCAAATAGTTTGTGTTTAACAGAGAACACTTTATTCTGGATGGAGTGTTTAAGAGGTTGGACTTTATGCTAACTATCAGCCATGATATTTACAAATAAATGTATATGGATTGTTTTTGAAGTGAAGAGTATCATTTCTAAGCTGATTTGTTAAAACCATTTTGTTTGAGCTTCTGTTTCTGTATTCTTCAGCAATTGGACTGCAATCCATTAAGTCTTTATAAAGATACAATTTCTTATGCTACTTATTGTGTTATATTTTAGACACAATATTGTCTGTTTTTGCTCAGTTTTATCAACGCAAATATTACCTATTAAAGCCACAGCAGAACTGCTGTGCGTCTCCAAGCAGCACACAATTTATGAATGAATCTGCCTTTTGAACGAATCGGGTGAACCAATGGCCCATTCATAAAGAGAACAATTTACTTCATTCCTGAATGAATCGGCCTTATGAACGAATGAATGAATGAATTCATTCATTCATTCATTAGTGACTCAATGACTTATTCATTAAGTCATTTACTGCCACCTACTGGCAGTTTTAGTTTCTTATTCAGAGTATAATTTCATTTAAAAATTATTTACGGTGACGCATTGCTGCCACACACATATTTTTTTTTCCACTCAATTATGTCGTAATAACGAGATGTTTTCTCGTTAAAAC